AAACCTTCTTTCTCCCAAGTATCTTCTTGACAGCCGCCGCAGCATTCACGCGGCCGAAGGTAAGGGTCTCTACCCCTTTACTGTCCTTGACACCTTGGGTGGCCGTATCCTTGATGATACTTTTGATGTAAGCAGGGGTCAGCTTAGCCTTCAGAGAAGGTTCAAGGCTGTAGAGCATCCCAGCTATACCTGCTACAATAGCGGCGGCATGCGAAGTGCCCTTACCTGTGGCATACTTCCCTTTGAGATCAGTTGTAACTATTCCGTTACCTGGAGCGGCAATGTCAACAGCTGAACCGAAATTGCTTCCATCCGTAAGCTGCATGTTGGGACCATACGTTGCAGCCACACATAACACTCCATCAGCGGGTGAACGGCCGAAGGAACAAGGGAAGTCTGGATTTATGTCCAAATCGCGGTGCTTATTCCCTGCCGTGACGACAACGAGCATGCCAGCTGCATTTGCTTCCTGAATCTTGTCGGTAACGGCTTTGGAACTCTCTGAATCGGAACCTTCCGTCATGAGAATAACTTTCACATCATCTTTCCACTCATTGATCAGGTAGGTGAAAGCATCCGCCATTGCGGGAAAACTCGGAGCTTCACCGTCGAATATGGGCAGTATGCGCACACTGTCCAGAATGCCCGCCAAACCGATCATGTTATTTCTGATAGCACCAATGATGCCAGCCATGCTGGTTCCATGATGTCCTCGAGGACTGGTATCATCGTTCTTATCAACGACGTTGTAGCCCTTGATGACGGTACCCTTCAAGTCAGGATGAGCGGCCTCGATTCCGTCGTCAATAACTGCGATGGTCACAGGTGTTCTCTTGGGAGTAGAGTCGAAGATACCCCAAGCCTCCGGTATAGAGATGGCCTCAAGATAAGCCTTCTGCATGTAATAGAATTTGTCGTTAGGATCGCCGTTCACAGGACCGAGCCCACGGAAATAGCCACTTTCGTCCACTTCTGCTTCAACGTAGAGAAGCTCGCACGAGAAGAACCAGAATGATGTTACGAGGAGCTGCATTGTAAGCCACTGGGATGAGCAATTCGTTGTGCTTCGACGTGTCGAAGTGTACGCGTGAACTACCTCTTTTGACTGGCACATTTGTTCGCGCACGTGGATTTTTTTTCGCGCGCGGCACATTGTTTGGGATCCCTGACGATGGATCTGAGCTTCTTTCCGAAAGAATCTTTCGTCATCCACGGGATTATAAAGCAAGTCGAGATAGCGCAAAACCTCGATACGCCTCGTGTCCTCGAGTTTCCAATGGCGATTGAAGAGAGTTCTCATTGTTCGGAACCCCTGACGATGGATCTGAGCTTCTTTCTTCATGCGCGAGATTGGAAAGAAAATCAATATCGCGCACAAGTTGTGCGCGATCATACGCGGTTTACGACTGTGCGGAACAACCTCGATACGCCAGGCGTATCGAGGCGTATTACGCCTAGTGT